AATTAAACAATAGATAGCACGCCACTGTCAATGCTCATGGATCACATGCAAATGACTATAAATTACATGTAATTTAATATATGAAAAAGATTAACAAACGTGCCTAAGGAAAAATTACATGTAATATCTAAACGGATCACATGTAATTCACATTGGTATACACACATGCCTCTCACCTTGCATCCAAACTATAACCCTTACACCCTAAGCCAAACTTTTTATACCCAAGCTATAACCTTTACAATGTGCACCTTAAGTCAAATTTCTTGTACCCAAGTTAGAACCCTTGCACCCTAAGCAAAACCCTTTAGACCCAAGTCAGAATCCTTACACTTTAAGCCAAACCCCTTGTACTCAAGCCATAATCCTAACACCTGTAACATCCCAATTTAAATTCTAATAGTTAATTTGAGTTAATAGAAATTTTGGAGAATATTTAGAGGTAAATAAATTAGTAGGAAATGATTATTAAATCTAACTTAGGATATAATTCTAAATTAAAATAAAAAAATTAAGTAATTAAAAAAATATTAAATTATTATTATTATTATAAAAAAAAGAAGAAGAAAAGGTATGAGAAAAAGGAAGGAAAGAAAGAAGAAAACGAGAGTGGCTTTCGGTGCAATGATTATGTATATAATAATAATAATAAAAAGGTAGAAAGAGGAAAGAAGAAATAATAAAAAAAATGTGGGACCCATTGAATTTTTATAAAAACTCACCTGTTTCCTTCGTTTCGTCATTCTCTCCTTCGTGCGTGAGCTGAGGCAAAGTGAGCGTGAGTCGCTATTGTGGGAGATCTGAGTTTTTAAGGTAAGAGTTTTTAATGGGATATTTAGAATGTGATTTCAAGTTTTTCAAGACTAAGTAAGTGTTCTAAAATTTTTTTTTAGTCATCCTTCTTCTTTGGTTTCTGATTTTGTGGTGGTAGAAAATTTAGAATCTAGAAGAGGGATGAATTTATGTTGAATAAATATGGTTTATGAGGTTGTTAGTAGTATAATAGATGTTTTAGAGTATAAATTTATTGATGATCTTTGAATTTGTGGCTTATGGATCAAATTCTAAACTAGATCTAAAAATATATGTTGATTTATTGAGGTTTGGATGATTATTTGGGATGAGAAATAAATTATTATGGCTATAGGATTATGATTCTAAGCTAGAGACTTAATTTTTAATTTTTGGGTATTTTAGGTGCGAATTTATAAAATAAAAAGAAAATTTTGATGATAGAAACTAGTTTAGAAGTTGATTTTTAAATTATTAATGTTTATTGATGACTAAAAGAGGAGTTAAAAATTTTACTTAATAGTATTGACTCTAAATTTGTATTAAGATTGGGATTAGGAATTATGTTACATTTTTAATTCTATTATTAGAATTCTTTTATTAGTTTCAAAAATTGAAGCTAATATTTATAAATAATATGTTATTTGTAGATTGTATTATTGGTGAAAATTGTGGTGGGAGAGAAATTGTAAGGAATAATTTATTGAAAAAGCCACAAGGTAACCATGCTTTTAATTTGTGATTAGTGTTACTTCATGTTAATTGGGTGATTATTGAAAAAATTATGAATTTTGTAATATTGTATAATTGTGCAATATTATTATGAATTTGTTTGATTATTGTGAGAGGTGTTAGGAGACTTGCTATTGTTGTTGTATTTATGTGCCACGTGATACGCCCCTACTGGAGCTCAATAGGTAGCTTGTAAGGGCTCGGGCTAATCTACCTTTGGCCGGGTAATTTAGCACCAAGTGAGGGCTATGGCTCGAGGTTAATGGAGGGATATAAGAATTGTTTGTTTGTGTGTATTGTAATATTTCTTATATTTTGTTGGAATTATATTATTTTTAATTCTCACTTAATAAGCACACACTTAACTGTTTGTATACATTATCATAAATTGGCTTTGGTTACTGGGACTTTTGAGTCTCATTATGTGGTTAATAATTTTCAGGAGAAGAGCCACGAGTGATATGGGAGGAGTCCCAGAGGCTTAGTGGCATAGATCCACTGTCTCTTTTGGGTATTTGATTTATGATTTATAATGTGTTATATTGCCAATATTAGGGCTTTTTGTTTATTGACAATTATATGAATATATAAATGTAATCATGCCTTTCAAACTATTTTTATTTTTGGTACACTTTGGATGACTGTAATTTTAATATTTTGTTTACTTTGGATTGGTTAAAATGGCATGATTATGAGGCCAAATAACTGGCTTGTTTTAAAAATTGACTAAATTATTTATTTTACTTGTTGGGAGTATAAGGATGGACAAATGTGATTTAGTTTACTTGTTGGGAGTATAAGGATGGACAAATGTGATTTAGCCTAATGGCATGTGAGAGGTAAAAATTTAGCTGAAATGTTGTATTGTACGAATTGAATCTAATTATAAAATATTTTTATATTGAAATTATTGATATAAAATGTGTTGGGTGGCTGTAACCCAACTATGGTTGAGTTAAATTATTTAAAAAAAAAATTTGGTATGTTACAACACCTTATACCCTAAGCCAAACCCCTTACACCCAACCCTTTCTCTAAGCCAATCTCCTTGCATCTTGTGTCTTAAGTCAAAATCCCTACACCCTTTGATTGTTGAGTTTACATGTACTCTTTGATAATTATATGTAGTCAAGGGGTTATGACTTTTTTGGAAAACCTTCACCGGTTGGCTGAAGCTCCAACGAGCACACCATTACTTGTTAGAGGAGGGGGTCAAAGCTCTAGTGGCTGGATTTTGTACCTTTAATTAATATATTTGCTTTGGTCCTTGGACACAATTTGTCTCTCAAGAAGGTATTTTTCACCAATTCTCCCTAAAATGATCTAAATTAAAAAATTACATTAAATTAAAATTCTCTACAATGCAGTTAGTTTTTTAACCAACCTATAAAATACAATTAAATGTATAAGTTCTATTAATATTTTATTTATCATTTGTCATGTTTAATGTTTAACATATTTTTCAGTATTTAACTATATTGTAGGAGGCCCAATAGTAATACTTTTGAATTTAAATTTAAATCTTTTATTTCAATATAAAAAATATAAAACTAATCAATGCGGTTGTCAACAGTACCGTTAATTAATATAAAATATAAATGGCATGTATAAAATTGAATAAGTATGGTCATCAATGTCATATAATTATCGTTAAATAATATAAACCATAAAAATGTAAAATATAAAGTATAAATGGAAAATATCATTTAAGGACTATTGAGGATATTTAATATCAATTGATAATCAAAAAATTATAAAATATCATTACTAGATCAGGAAATTAATTTGAAAATAATTTTAAATTGGAAAACACTATAATACCTCCACCTTTCTTTTTTCAATTGACAAGTATTCGTTTGTAAATTAATAAATACCCATTTTTTTAATAAGAAGTAATTAACTAATTAATAAGTTTAAGAATATAGAAGATCTTGATTGTGGGAAGAGATAATTATAAATCATATTTTAACAAATAACTATTCGTTAATTAACAAGAACTCGTTTACATTTAGCAAGAAGACATTTGCTAGTTGACAAATTCAATAATATGAAAGAACTTGATTATGAAAAGAGATAATCATGTTTCAACAAGTAGCTATTCGTTAGTTAATAAGCACTCATTCGCATTTAATAATAAATCATTCACTAATTGAGAAGTTTAAAAATTTAAAAGAACTTGATTGTAAGAGGGTACAAGTATAGATCATGTTTTAATAAGTAATAATTCATTAATTAACAAAAATTTATTCATATTCATATTTACTAAAAAACTATTCATTAGTTGACAATTTTCAAAAAAGAAAAATAAAAGAAGGGGTATTATAATCTTTTCTTATCTAAAATTATTTTTAAATTAGTTTCCTACTCTTGTTGTGATATTTCAATTTTTTAATTTGATATTAAATTGCTTCCATAATTCTTAAATGATATTTTCCCAAAGTATAAAACCATCGAAGACAAAGCTGAAGTGGGATATGTCATGTATATAGAAATTTAGGATTCAAAATCACAAGAATAAAAGTTAAAAAATTTATCAAGTTGTCGTTTATTTGTTAAACTTCCCTTAATATTCAAGAATGCACCCATTTTTTTTTTTTTTTACAAGTAAAAGTTTAGGTAAGTTAGGTCTACTAAAAAAATATTTATATAGTTACTTACAATTGCTCACCAATAACATTTTTTACATGATAATGGGATTTGATTTCACATCTTATAAATTATGAACCAAATCTATATTAACTTGATCAATTTTTATTGGTGAATACAACTATATTTAGCAGGCCTAAAAAAATTCAGATGATATGAATCTCAATAAAATGATATCTTTTTCAAAAAATAATTAAAATGTGTTGTTCTTTATTTACTTCTTTTTTTTTCAAAAGCCAAAAGTCAAAAACCAGGCCGCATTATAAAGAAACACATATCCCTCCTTGCTTGTAAGTTGTAACACAATTTCTATGATCTAAGTTTTTTGCGAATGGAGAATCGATTGATATTCAAAGTTAATTAAAACTAACATGCAGAAGTTTAATTTAAGATAAACTTCCTTGATATCAAAGTTCACGAATCACATGATTGAATCTACAAGTGTATGCTTACATTCGTTTTAAATTTTAAAGAAGATGATCAACTTTTGAATACTGGTATTGACAAATAAATCTTGATTTTAGAAAATAATACCCACGTTCATGAAATCAATATCATGGCAAGATTCGTAATTTCATGTATTTAACAGGCTATCTTCTTGTGAAGTACAAGTTTAATTTTAGCTAGCCCCTTCGTCCTTTGTTGTTATCTCTGGGTGTTCGGTTGGAGAGATGCTCCTCTCTTACTTGGTTTGAAAAATTAGAATGAAGGAAAAGAATTTTTTTTTAAAATCTCCCTTCCCCTTTCTCTAAACCCTCCCATTTAAATTTGAGAGAATTGAAAGAAGAGGGATAAAATTTTTCATATCCTAACTAATATGTTTTTTTGTTATAAGTTTAAAAATAAAAATACACTTTTTTTGCATCTCAATACTAATAAAATGATAATAAAATTATTCATATATACTTATTTTTTTGTTTCCTTTCCTTTCCTCCTCTCTTGAAAGTTGAACCAAACAAATTCCTCCCCTCCCCTCGCCTAGCGTAGCCTGTAATGGCATACAGGGTATTAATGTAGAACCATCAAAGTCTAGTGTTCCTTAATCCACTGCAACCCCTCGCATCAATCACCTTGTTGGAATCTCCGTAGACCTTACCAGGTTAGCTTCCTATCCACTTCATTGCGTTTTCTGATCCAAGGATCTGCTTGGGGGACGAGAGAGTGCTAGGATAAAAAATGAAGAAATGTGGTAAAGAAAAGAATGAGGCGTTAGTTCATTGTTATTCTACCCGACCCAAAATGGCTGAATATGTTCTATGGATTCTTTGTTTTCCTTAACATTGCATGGGATTATTGCTGTTGTTTCAAAATTTCGTACTTTTTTTTGAGACAAAAATTCATGCTTTGAATAACTGTACTTTTTTCCTGGGTTTTCTCGACAACCATGAGGCTTTTTGGCTAGTGGGATTTAATCGTACTTGATCCTTATTTTTTTTCACACAAAAGGAAGAATGGAACTATGAGTGTTCTTGGCAGTTGGTGATGTTCGGGTAATGTCATTAACAGCTTCATCAGAGATTACGTCTTTCGATGCGATTATAATGTGTTGGAAGGTGCAGTTTTATGTATTCGTGCTTGAAGGAGTTGGTTTCCGCTTGATTTTAGATATGCACCATAAAATGTCTCACGGTGAAACCCATAATGAATTTGTGAGGACGTGTATAACTAAAATGGGAATGAAACCCATAATTTTTTTTTTCTGTAATCTACAAATCAATCAATAAAAATATGATGGCAAAGCTAGCAAATCCCTTTGGCATCATTAGGAAATTATGCCAGATGCTCTCCTGATTATGCTAGCACTAATGATCTCCTGTCTCAAGCGTCCCAGAATTGAAAGATTTTAACCCAACAGATGTAAGTAAAATTAGGACTGCTCTGCTTCTTCCTAATAGATTTAATTTTGCGTGACAATGCTTGCATCTCACTTGTATTTCACTATCAAGGGATGTTAGGCTTTTCCATCAGCAAGTAACTTTTCTTTCAGTTTTGATTTAATGGAATCTATCTTTCTATACTGCTTTATCAAGGTAAACTTCATGGGCATTGTAAACCATTTCAGCCGTTATGCAATTCTTTCCTCTTGATAGATTTGTCTATGCTATAACAAATTACTGGCTTATTCATATTTTGTGATATTTTACACTTCTCTGTTTTTTTTTCCTGACTTTGTTTCCTCAGGGTAAAGATACGATGTCCTAAACTTCTACCAGCTTTCAGTTTTCGTAATACTGTTGCCAAACTTGTCAGATAGCCTTCTCTAACTGGATTGCCAAGAAAGAAAGAGCAGCTTTCAAAAATTTTGGCCTGCATTGATGTTAGAAGCCTTGAGGAGGGAGCATTTTTTTCCTCAAAGAAATTCTGCTTTACCAATGTAAGCTTTGTAATATATATATTGTATGCCACCGATGAGTACTGATTCTCTGAGAAAATGATTAGACATGTTAATCATTCCTGGGGGTAAGTTTCAAGGAACGCTATTACCATACCTATGCGGCCAGTGATCACCTTTAATAGCATATGGCAGCTCTCACTCCTGAAAGTTCAAATATTAGAGCAGAGTGTCATGCACTAACTCCACCGAAAGTTTTGAGGGGTCTGGTGTGTCTAGTGGTGTTGTTTTCTACTGCATTTATAATGTTAGTGTACCCTGGCTTTACTAGTGCTGTTATAGTGCAACTATTTAGCATACATTACAGTAGAAAGGCAACTTCCTTTTTCTTTGGTGCTTCGCTAGCCCTGTGGCCTTTCCTATTTGAGAAGATAAACAAGACTAAAGTCACATTTTCTGGAGACATTGTGGCATCCAAAGAACGGATCTTGCTGATTGCAAATCATAGAACTGAAATTGATTGGATGTATTTATGGGACCTTGCCTTGCGGAAGGGATGCCTTGGATACATAAAATATGTACTTAAGAGCAGCTTGATGAGATTCCCTATATTTTGTTGGGCATTTCACATGCTGGAATTCATCCCGGTGGAAAGGAAGTGGGAGGTTGATAAATCAACCATGCAAAGCATGCTCTCTACTTTCAAGGATCCTCAAGACCCACTTTGGCTTGCTCTCTTCCCAGAAGGCACTGATTTTACGTAAGCCACTTGCCCATGGTTCCTTTTTTCCTCTTTTATGCTTGTCAACGAAAGCTTGGTACATGTCTTTGCTCATGATGATTGTGATTCCCAGAATATGAAGGTTTCTTGTATGTGAATATATACACAATAACGCAGCCACCAGCATTTAGATGCAAGTTTGAAGGATGTTTGTATATGTTGTTATATAATGTAGCATATTTAACTATGTAGTTTGTAGCATTCTGTTGAAAGTTTCTCACCATCTTTCTGTTTCCTAGTATAGTGAGAAGAAGTATGATCGGAGTAAAAAATATGCTGCTGAACACGGGTTACCCATTCTGAAACATGTTTTGCTTCCAAGGACAAAGGGCTTCTGCACTTGCTTGCAGGTTGTCCTTTATTTCTTTGTTTTCTTTCTACCTCTAATGACTATTGAATGTTAAATGTAGCTGTTATGCTTCCTTTTTCGAGGCATTCCCTTTATTCTTCCAAGAATTATGCGTCATCTAGTCTCTGAAGATTACAATTTAGGCTTGACTAGCTCCAACCAGTCTGGGTTAGGTTAGTCAATGCTTGACTCTAGTTTGTGGTGAGTTTGACTGTTTGAGCCTTATCTTCATAGTTTCAGTTTGGGAGTTCTTCTCAAAAACCAAAGCATTCCTGCTCTGCCAAATAGAATAGATCATAGTACAAAACATGGCCACCCTAAGTTTATCCTATGATTCCTTCTAGTTTGAACAAAAATGTGTTGCTGCATAGAAATTCTGGAAGAACCAATATCATTTGAAAGAGGATTGCAAGGTCAAAGTGTTCTTCTTTAATGTGTTTTCAGGCAGGAAAAGACAAGTACAAGACAACAGAATTCTCCCAGGTTCAAGTGAGTGTAGAAAGACAAAAGCTCACAAGTCTCTAAAATATGTATTGGGTACAAGCCAAAATAAGGAAGAGCAAGACAGTGACGAGTGGCAAGCACTGGAAAATTGGTTCTGGCCTATTACAATCCCTACCGTTCTCTTTTTTCTTTTGATATGATGTTTTGAGAGACTTGAGCATCTGACGAAGCAGTAATATCTGCTTTATATCCTTCAGCGTGTATAGTAAATAACAAATGTGTTAGTTCATGAATTTGCCACTTAAGGGCTACATATCTGGAATTGCAAATTATGGTGTCTTTTTTCTTTTCTTTTCTTTTTCACAATAAAGCAACATATGCAACCTCCTATCTGCACTTTACGAAATTAGGAGAAAATAATAGTGCACATATTTTGAGTTGCCGATTCTAACGGTACTTTCTATTTGATGAGGAACCGTGGAAACATGTCTATATATTCAACAGTTTCTCTTACTCATAAACAGTTCTAAAGTAATTAATTTCAAGTTTCTTATCATGTTTTGACCATAGTTTATGATGTGACCATCGGCTACAACTACCGCTGCCCATCTTTTCTGGACAATGTATTCGGAGTGGATCCTTCTGAAGTTCACATCCATGTCAGCAGAATCTCCCTTGACAGTATCCCAGAATCTGAAGATGAAATGTTGTCATGGCTGATAGAAACGTTCCAGATTAAGGACCAATTGCTGTCAAATTTTTATAGCCAAGGTCAGTTCCCTAATCAAGGAACAAAAAAGGAGCTATCTGATGTGGAGAGTATTTTGAACTTCATGGCGGTTATTATGGTATCTGGGACATGCATGTTCTATATTCTCTCTTCCGTCTGGTTCAAAATCCATGTTTCTCTAGTATGTGCTTGTTTGGGAGCTACCAATTTAAATGATCGGCCTTATCCATTTATTTGAGATCATTCTATGATTTTGTTGTTGTAATTTGAAAATTGTACTATTATTGCATGCAATTTCATCTTATGTCTTACAAGTTGATATAAAAGTGATAGCCTGATAGGATGAAATAATCTGAAAAAGTGCTCCAATGAATGGGTTATTAGATGATGATTTGATAAGTTGGGTTCAACCGATTCTGATTTGTTTATCAAATTACTTAATGGCTTTAGACAATATTAATATTAATATATCGATGAAAGTTCTATAGAACCACAAGTTATGATTATTATTTTTTTTTTCTTACTCAAAAATATATAGTTTAGTTTAATTTGAAATATTATTGTTAAAATATTGCTAATTAAAAAATATTTTATCAAAATCATTTAAATTTAAAATTAAATTAAATTAAAGTGTAGTGTAGTCATTTATTTCAAAAAATTGTGTGCATCAAGAGTTTGAAAAACAACTATCATTTTAATAAAATAATAGAGCATTTGACGGAATTTATCACATAATTTCGTTTTTTTTTTATAAAAAGACAAATTTCATTAAACAAAGAAAAACGATTACAACAAAAGCCAAGAAGAAAAAAAAGAAAGAACAGCAACAAACTAAAAGCAGCGAAAAGAGACCACAACAACAGGGGAATCTGGAGTGATTTTTTATTTATTGGTGAATAGAGTGACTGATATTATTTGTTTGTTTGACTTTGTTATCATTTCAATTTTCATAACTCGAGCAATGCAGGCATACCGAGCAGCACGTTTACGGGACCTAAAAGTATAATTTTAAAAACATAATCAAGGGAAGAATTTCGAAATAAAAAACTGTGGAGCTTGTAAATGTAGTAACGAATATTTATCTTTATCGAGTCAAAAATGTTAGCAACATATATACACGCACGCATCTATGCGCGCGCGCACATAGACACAAACATATTAAATTAGATATATTGGGGAAATATGGAAAAGACAGAAGGATGAATACGCCACTCCAGGCATGCTGGTTCTTATAAGAGTTCCTTGCTGACTAATTTATGCGTATTCATTCAGACAAGGAATGATATCAATTTGTTATCAAATTTTTGAATGTAGACGATAAAAAATTAAATACTTAAATTTATATATTTCAAATATTTTTTTTTTCAATCAAGTTATCACATATATATTTTTATTCCTAATTTATCATATAATTAAATCCCATTATTAATAATATTTTGAATTTATTTTTTCTATGTTTAAAATTTGCTTGTTCTAATTTAATTTAAAAAATTACATTAAATATATAAGCTTAAATAATAAATATCTATTTTTCTCCATATAAATATAACATTGAGAATGTTTTTAAGAGCTTGATACAACATTATTGGCTTTTCAAAAATAATTCTTGGTTTAATTCTTTTAAAGACCATTCTAAAATTTAAAATTTAAATGCATCAATTTGATATGAAAAGTGTGCCTTGAAAATCACTTAAAAATCACTCCGAAAAATTCACTTAAAAAAATTTAGAAAAATCCAAGTTTACCGTAATATTTCTTTCCGAAAAATTAATTATATTTCTTTGACAAAAACCATGCCAGTCACAAAAACAATAAAAATTGCTCATTCTATACCAAAATTTAATGAGACGATGCTCTTTCCAAAACACCTACATGTCCATTCATTGGATAAAGATTTTTACATCTATTGAACAGTTTTTTTGGCAAAAAAAAAAGATATTTTTTACATAATATGATGCATATTATGTCATTATAATTATTATTTCATCTCTCTTCATATTGTTATTTATAGGTATTAGCATTTTTCTACAAATTATATTTTTATCTTTGACCCCTCCATTATATATGTTTATCAAATATTTTCCTTCAATAAGATATCAAGCCTTCCCCCCTTCTTCATGATTTAAATTATGATGTAGAAGAGATGCCAACTAAACAACCGTACCATCAAGACGTCAACTCTTAGTTGTCTAAGGTGTATTCGATTTTTGAAGCAATGCCACTGTCAAGTTATTCAAAGATTCAACAAATAAGAACAAACAACAAAAATCAATAAAAATTTTGAACAACTTACATTTCATGAATGAACAACCAATTTCAGCTACCTTAACAAACCCAAGGAATAAAATCCATTGTCTTTTTGCCTTGAACATGAAAGAAAATTCAAATTTTAAATTTACTAAACTTCTGCGCATGGATTATCTTTAACTTCAATTGTGAGGATGCTTTATGATTCTCTGGAGAACTACAGTTCTGGCCCTCCTTATGTCACGGCTGCACATATCAGCTTGGACTCCTAGTTCTTCAACATTCTTCATAAACACCCCAAGCTTCTTCTTAATCTCCTCTATTGCAATCTTCACTGCTTCTTCTTCAATTGCAAAATCGATATTACGCAGTAGAGACTCAATCTGAATCTCCAACCTATCAACCAGAACCCTGATATTATCCAGGTCCTTGATTGCCACATAAGTACCAACCTGGATTGAGCTAATCACTTCCTTCTGTCCCTTCAATGCATTTTCATAGTTCTTCCAAAGAGAATCAATCCATTTTCCCATTGTCCCAATTGGGATTGATGTTGCAGCAGCAAGAGCAGATGCTACTGGTGGAGCAGCAACAGCTGCTGCAACAACTGAACATATCAGAACCGCAGCAAATGTAGCTGCAAATATCATGCTTGTGACCTTCCTCCATGTGTGGATGGATTTGAGCTTCTTATCAAGCTTGCTTTTTCTTACTTGCAACTTCTCAAGCATTAGCATTTGCTGCTTATATACCGACTGAAAGATTTGGAAGAACTCTTCGGTAAAAGGATCACCAGCTGCTTTGAAATTCTTCAGTTCTTGTAGCGTTTTTACAAACCGGTTATCTCCTAACTCTGCTTCGTCCTCAAATTGTTGCAGAGCCACCAGTATAAGAAGCTGGCCATCTCTAGCTCGCTTTAGGCACTTCTCCAAAGCAGCACAGAAATCTAGAGTCTGCAAGCTATTCTCAAAGTACTCCTCAACTAGATCAAAGAGTTCTTGGCTTTTCCATATGTCTTTCTTGCATTCCAGAATCACTCTGACAACTTCTTGGTTCATCTCCAGAAGGCACTCTGTGACTTGTTTTAGGGATTCAAATGAAAGAGCTCGAACATCAACGCCACCTGCAAGAGTGTTTATGACCTGATTTGTTCTAGCATGAAGTGTTGTGTCAAAGGATTGCAAATCAGCATCAAGCTTGCAGGCAGCTTCATATGAACACAGCTCGGTTGTATAGTGCATATCAGTATTGAAATTAATTGCATATGATGTTTCAGGGATCTTCTTGCTTATGTGGCTCCCCATTGCTCCAAAGGAAATCTGATCATACAGAGATATGCAAAACCAAGCTTAATTCAGAACCCCCTTATGATTCAATCTCCAGAAAATGAAATGAACGCGTGGAATGAACAAATTACACCCAGATAGAGATTTTGAAAAGTTTAAACCTAAGAAGATTAAGAACAACCCAGTTTGGCAAACAGATGAATGGACGCTATCTTATATATTTAGATAATTCTAACATCATTATTAACATAGAGACAAACAAAAGATCACCAGATATTGAAATGTATGAACAAGTGGATTGAATCAAACAAACCCAGATAGAGAGCTTGAAAAAGTTCCGACCTCGGAAAGCGATTGACGGGGAGAAAATCCAAAAGAACGACAAACAAGTTCGTCGAAGCTAATTTGAGGAGTTGTTCTTCTTTCGTTTTCTCAAAAGAGGAAAGTGAGATAATAATGAACTTGAGGTTCAAGGGGAATGCAGAATCTTAAAGATATTAAGAACCGGTAAGGACCAGGGAATTTTTAGGGGGGGTGGGCTGAGAGATTGATTTGAGAATCGCTTGCACGCATGAGAAAAATGAAGGTAATGCTGAAGATGGAAAACGCGGGAAGCAATACCCTTTATATGTTTTCTCACTCTAGAAATCTATCTCTTATACACTGTACAGTTCTCACGCGCAAAGCAACGATTATCCAAAGAGAAGGGAGAAGCAAGCTGAGCTCAAAAACATCAGCTTTCAGATTTGAGAGAAACAACAGACAATGTTGCATGAAACGATCTGTTATTATTTACAGAAGAAGCTTCTAAAAAGGGTGGCGTCAGCATCAAATTTTTCCTTTAAATTTTCGGGTATTTACTAAATTTCCAAAAGACCCATTTCGTTAGATATTTAGGGAAAGCTAATTGAATAATTGATTGATTAATAATTGGATCTAACTTCAACCTGAAACATCAAATACTTCTTGAAATGCTGTTGCGAAGCTTCCAAACAAGTCCTATCAAGTCTGGACGCCACCGGCATAATAAGTTGGTTTTTTTTTTTGTTGGGGGGGGGGGGTTTAAGGAGAATATAATCAATATTTACGATTCCTGTTGATTAAACTAATTTAAATTGTACAAAATGAATCCATGATAAGAATGTTGACCTGGAAGTATATTGCCTTGTGGTTCAACGAGCTATTTGAAAGATAATGTCATCCTAGTCACTAGCATCAAGAGAACGTAGAGTATTGTTATATGCGCTAATAAGCTTGTTTACTTGCTAACTAAGACATGTAAGTAATTTAATTCTTCTCGATCAAAAATTTTCGATTCCTTTGTCATTAAACAAGTAGTACTTTACATCCAACAAAATCTATACATACATTCTTTATGAACTTTTATGATATGTTTTATTATTTAATTAATATAAAATTTGATTTGTTTTTAGCTTTTACGAGTATTTTTGAAAAATATAGATTCTGCGTATGAGCTGAAAGAACGTTCTTTTTTTAAAAAATCCAGATTATATAATGCTTGTATATGTAAATATATAGTCAGTGTAACTCTCTCTCTCTCTCTCTGGTATTAGCCAATGTAATATCTAAAAACAACAGATAGTTGCTTGTTTTGAATTTATGCAATACAATAATGCGTTATTGTAAACTTAAGATTTCTCTCAGTATGAATTTTTCTCATGTCCATGATATTTTTAAAATTTAATGTTAATTCAAGAGAAATATTCGATATTCAACTTATTTAAATATTTCAATTATATGCATAAAATTATTATCAGCTACATTTTTAACCAAAATATCAACAATATGCATGAAATAGTTGAGTAAATATAATATATCATAAAATAAAGAGTAAAAGTAATTGAGAAATAAACATAATCTATAATAAAATATATTAAAAAATCAGACAAGTCTAGTTTCGATTCAGTTGAAAATTTGAAATACTAAGTATGCAAAATCGAACTAGGTCAATTTTACAAGAAAGAAAACCAAAATTAATCTTTTACCCAAAAAAATTAATCTTATTTAATTTTAATTGGTTTAGTAGGTTTAGTTTGGATCAGATTGATCCATTGGGTTTGGCTTGGTTTCTAAACACCCTTATTAAGGTCATATTTATTCTAAATCTTTTGAATAAAATATAAGATAATTTATTATTATATTTATACTTTTTCCACCAACCATAACTGGTTCAAGTAGTTTGGTGCTTGTTCCTATTAAAATTTAAGAACCATATTCTTTGGCATAGTTTTTTTAATATAATTTTTGTATCCACATGTGATTTGAACAACCAACGTTACATTGATTCTTAACTGATGCCTTGGCGGAGTATTATTTTTTAATCAAATAATTAATTTAAGTTATCATCAAGTTCAGTTTAAACTTCAATATGTCTCTCTCTGTTTTTTTTTGAGAAAAAAAAAGGCAGCACAGATTTTAAAACAAGTCAGCTATTTATTTATGATAAAATGACAATAAAATCTCTTTAAATCATATACATGACAAGTTAATTTTTTAAAATGTCATAATTTTACTGAATTTTCTAAGAACCTTTTTGTTATTAATAAATTTATATAAATAATTAAATTTCTCTTGTAACAATATCAAAAATTTGATAGATAAAATTGTGATTTGTTGTTGTATTGTTGCAATTATAAGAAATAAAGTTGTGATTATGTAAATAAAACTTGTAATCATTATTTATTACTTTCAATACGTATAGTAATATCAAGAAATTGATATGTAAAATTATAATTTGTTATTACGGTGTTATGAATATAAAAATAAAAGTTATGATTATTTAAATAAAATTTGTGATCATTTTACTTTTAATAAAGATAATTTGATCATTTATATAAATTTATTAATGATAGAAAAATTTAAAAAAATTTAAATAGCATCATGATATTTTAAAAAAATTAAATTATTATTTATATAATTTAAAAAATTTTATTGTCATTTTTTCTTTGTTTATTTTGATGAAGCGAAATGTAAGCCTGTGGAGACTGGAAACGGAGTCTCATTGAAAGCTACCCGCTTTTGTCAACGGAGGGTAGGCCCCATTCCGTCTCTGCCATGCCCTTCAATGACACTTGTCTTGGTGACACGTGTTGAAAATAACGGCCGCCACACCTCGGCGTGTTCGTAACGGATTCGATGCTCCATCAACCGACCCTTCTCCTCGCGTGATGTATACGCTCCGCTACTGCCACCGCCGCACTCCGACATGGTCGCTGCGTTATTTCTTCGCGGGCTTCATGAAAAAAACTCGGCACCGAATTGCGGCACAATTCAAGTCTCTAGATTCGTGCCGGCTTCCTTGGTTTTTAAGATGAAAAAAATGCACTATTGTCATATTATATTTTACACTCATTCATCTCAATTTATAAAATATTTTTAAATAAATTTTTATATATCAATAAAATTTATTAAATATATTTTATAATTTTATTTTTAAGATAAAAATATAAATTTTTAAAAATATATTTTATTTAATACTCTACTAAAAAAATAATATTAAAGAAAGATAATATATGAGAAGAGTAATATTGAAAAAGTATCATTAATAAAATTTTATTGTTATTAAAGTATCTTATATTTTAAAACATTAAATCTTTCATAAAAGTGTTTTATAATTGGAGACGAAGGGAGTATTTATACTCCGTCTCTTAAAAAACATAAGGCATTTTGTAAGAGGTTAAATATTAAAAAAATGTAAAGTATTTTTAATATTTTAAAATTTAATTATTATCTTTTTGTCAAAAAGTACTCTTATTGAATAAATCACTTTATATTTATTTTAGTGTAAAACAGCCTATTAAATAAAAATAAATATAAAAAAATATGATTAGTTTGAATCTAGTAATTATTTTATTAGATGTGAAATTTGGTTAAAATGTTTCACATTTTTTTAATGGAGGAAATATAATTTTTTTCATGAATCAGTAGAATAGGCTTTATAAAATCAAGAATAAAATATTTGTTCACTTTTCTATTTTGCCTTAATGTAGACTTTCATCTATTTTAAAAACCTAAAATTTAGTCTAATCCGTTAATTCTACTAAAAAAATTTCAAAATCATATTTTAAAATTAAAATTTGTATTAAATACATACTAATTTATTCCTCACCCTAATAAATCATAAATTATATTATTTTGACAACGACATCTTTTCATTGCAAACAAACATATTTGCAAATTTTAAATTTAAATTATTTATAAAATCTCTTGAACTTATATCATTTTATGTTATGTGATGAAAAAATATGTATTTGAAATATGTTTTTAGCAATTTCAAAAAATATAAATAAAGAAGTTTCAAAGATTTGATAAAAATTAAAATCATAATATTTTATCATATGATAAAAAGTAATAAATTTTATAATATAATAAAAAATTGAAAATGTCTTAATTATATTTTTTTAGTTGTATATAAAGAATATATTTTTAAAAAATATAAATTTTTAGATAATTCTTATATTAAAGAGTGGCATTTTGATCAAATTAAAAATTTAAAAGTCAAATTTAACAATCAACATTTTAAATATACAAAAGATGTTTATATAGCATATATTTAATTTTAAGAAAGATTTATATACATTTTTAAAGTAAAGAGAATGTGTATATATTATAGTATAATAAAAAGTAGCCACTGTATTTTAATCTAAAATCAATCATTAGAAAAAAAGTGCAGCTTACCTCAAAATTTATGGCAAGTATGGATCCACATCTTGGTTTTTTTGAATAAAGATTAAAAAATGTATTTTTTAGTATTTTTAAACGATCAATTAACATTGATAATATTACTACATAGTGTGTGTATCTAGACTTACTAATTAACTAGGTACTATGTAAAAAAAAAAAAAAATCTCCCTGCACTAATGAACAGCTGGCGTCAAGACATGATGTAGATGTGTTGGTTAAAAATAATAAATGACACGTTGCTCATACCAACTTAAGGCTCATCCGTAGAAGAAAGAAAAAGTTTATCACATATTGTTACAGATTATATATATTTATCTCAGTTAGTTATAAGATTGACCGACTATTTCCTTACATCATATACCTATATAACATGTCATTGTACCGCTGGCTAGTTGAAGCACAAACTTGTGTACCCTTTTTTTTTTATATTGATAAACATTTAATTGACAAAGTCACGTAACATGCTAATCGTAATGCAACATATTGCAATATAGAATAAGAATATCAATTGTTTTATATTATTAAATTTTAGGGTACTGATTACTTTTTTAAAAACATTTAAGAGTGAAAATCTATTTGAATTTAATTGCCAATGTCAATGTCCAATACTATATAAGCGACACTACAATAAGCTTAACACTGGACTTTAGAATAACCAATGCTCGTTCAAAGATAATTTATGTACAAAACACCATTTACCTTTTTTCTTGTGCCCATGTATTTTCTTCAAAAAAAAACTATATTCAAGGATACGATCAAATATTAAGTTTATTATTATTGCCTCTCTTTTTTAAAAAACAAAAAACAAAAACAAAAGTACAAACTTTTCTTCTATGATCAATTCCCCTTCTTGTCTTTTAGCCCCTGCCTGCCAAGCACATGATAACCTTGGACTACAAGAGATGTATCTGAATTAAATGTGACAAGAAGTCGTATGTTTATGTTGCTACGTTTGGATATATACAAAAAACTTAATTTCGAAGTATCTTGTTTAGTCGTATTAATCATTGGATGTATGCGCATTAGTAAGGCTTTATATCCATCTATATCTTGTTTTATTTTGCAAGTTATCCTTGATTTTATAGTAAAACAATACTTTTTATTTTAACTTAATTTTGTAAAATTGGAATCTCAAATAATAAAAAGTTTCATATAACATAATTTTATCATCTTAAGAAATCATGGCACGCCGCTCATATAACTTATTAAAAAAGATATTATATATGTATGCACTCGTTATAAGATGCTTTTAAGTTCCAACTACTTAATTGAAACTAAGAAATAATAGTTAAATCATTAAATAAGTTTTAAAATAAAAAAAAATCAACTTTGTTCCTATTAAAATAGAGAGAAAATGCACAGCATACAATGAGCTATAAATATATTAAATTTATAATAGGATTAAAATTAAAAAATAATAATAAATAATTCTTTATGTGTTTTACATTGACAACAACAACAATAAAAAATCTTTTTAGAAGGTACTTTAGGGACTAGAGGGAATATATACACAAACACACATTGATATGCGTGGGGTCATATTAAAACTGGTGGGACCATTAATTAGGCAAGGTTATCAGGAATGAGGTGTTTTCTTGGTGATGAGAAGAAAAGCATAGATGGAAGCTAAGACATAACACAAAAATGTCACAAATCGGTCAAAAGGGGGAAATTTAAGGCCTATCCCCTCAAGGTTAACAAAAATAGAGAAACAGAAACATATTTCAAGATTGAAAGCAAAAGACACACCTCTAAACAAATCTTAAAAATACTAGAGATATTGTAATTTAAACAAACAATCACGTGAAAAATAATCGGATATCATTGTTACTTGCTGGGAATCACTTCCCTTTTCAACACATTCGTAAACACGTGTTATTTTAATTAAATAATATTTGCATAATCATTTTTTTTACATATTTTCCGATCATATTAGACAAGAAATATTTATTTAGTGGGCAGAAGATGGCGGATTCAAATTAGGCCCATTATCATCTGACGTTAGGAGGTTCATGGGGTTCCAAATTCAAGTATCAGTATTTGTCACGTCTCGCTTTGTGTCCGTTACTCTTTTTTTTTTCTTTTGGGGCGAAAGCTAGTTTCTGCGTCCAACATGTGTTATGAGCTTATCTTTCGATTCAAATAAAGATCTCGAGGATGTTGTCACCTGAAGCAAACGCATATATATTTGTTGTCCAACGTCATTACTTCAAGGACTGTACCGTGATGTCACGTGGCGATGTTTGTGTTTTTAAAAATGGTGGTTTTCTTTTGAAAAAAAGTGGGTGGCTCATCAATATCCTCATCACTATGTATGCTTTGTCATGGTATGAAAGAAATCTTCAACGACGTGCATGCAATGCAAGCAGAGGATGCTAGAGCAATAATTTTGCTTTCATTTTTTGGGTCCATCATAATTTTGTATAGGTTTGGCAAAAAGAAGAACGTGGGTGGTTACGGGATAAGGCCGGGTAAAAAAAAAAAAAAATCCAAGAATCACCATTGTTGAAGCTACTTTTTGTGTTAAATAAATTTAGGACTCGATGTCATTCACACTGACTTTCATGACAAGTAACATGGTGGTAAATTATTTTCATCATATAGGATATCCATAATTTTTTTATTTAAAATATTCAGATCTATTTGTAATTTTGTGTAGGCAAGGCAAGTGAGCTCGTTTCCTCCGACAAGATTGCAAATAGAGCTACCTGCCACGAATGATATCTTGGTGATCGTGTGAAGACCAATATAATGAACAATCTGCTGGTTAGCCTCACACAGTATGGGTAAAGGGGGCAAAATTGGCATTGGGTGCGTTCTGCCTCAGTCTTCGAGCTGAGTGCACAACTGATCGGGGGCTAGTGCTGCCTCCCTGATGAGCCCATGGCAGGGCAAAACCAGTAGGATTCGTATGTGGTAAGGCTTGTCCTGAGGATTATGGGGTCCTCCAAGACGCCGCACGGGTGCCGTGTGCTGCGCCAGACTCTAAACTCGTGACAGAGTGGTATCAGAGCAGGACGTACTTTACTGCTGTGTGCCTGTGGAGTCCCACGTTGGGACTAGTCGACCTCGGCACCACTCCAAAGGCCTGCGAGGTGTAAGTGGGTCTAAAAATAGGGACTTGGACGGGAAAGTTGGCCGTGGTCGACTCCACTCCTGTTGGCTCACGGGTGCGAGTGGGTCTGAAGAATGTAGGACTCGGGTGGCCATTCAGCAGTAAGCTGATGTGTTTGTGGCAGTACTGTACGTGCGATCTTTGAGCAGAGTCTTTCTCCCCTAGCACGAGGGCGTGCTAGATTGGGTGTGGGAGAATGTCACGAATGATATCTTGGTGATCGTGTGAAGACTAATATAATGAATGATCCGCTGGTTAGCCTCGCACAATATGGGTAAAAGGGGTGACATTGGCATTTGGGTACGTTCTGCCTTAGTCTTAGGGCTAAGTGCACAATTGATCGGGGGCTAGTGCCGCCTCCCTAATGAGCCCATGGCAGGGCGAAACCAGTGTGATTCGTATGTGGTAAAGCTTGTCCTGAGGATTATGGGATCCTCGGGACGCCGTACGGGCGCTGTGTACTGCGCCAGACTCTCAGCCCGTGACATACCAATCAGATTCCAAAGATTGTAAAAGAAGTCAGACCGGATGGTAACCAGACGTGGGCTTTTTTTGGGCCAGAAACCATACGTGGTCTTTAAAGGCCCAAGTCGGAAAGTTGCCTGTCTAGAAAAAAAAAAACAAAGAAAAAGACGACTTGGCTTCTCTCCACTTCCTCCCCTATCCACTTCCTCTCCACTTCGCATCTCAACCGTTGGATTCATTTTTGAACGGTTGAGATTTGATGTTTCATAAAATTATTATTAAAATATAAAATTTTATAAAAAATGAATATAATAATAATTTTAAAACATCAAATCTCAACCATTCAAAATAAATCCAACGGTTGAGATGGAAAGTGGAGAGGAAGTGGAGAGGAGAAAAAGTGGAGAGAAGCTAGGTCCAGAAAAAGATGATCAGTAACTGCGCATTATTGTACCTTCCTAAGATGTCTAGGGAGAACCCTGTTGCATGCTTGTCCAAATTCCTTCTCTACATTCGCCACATTTTCATCACCACAAGTTAAACTTATTCTAAACATAATTCTGGACTATTTTACGTGATAAGAGTTTAATTTAGCTCAACTTTTATTTTAAGTCAAACCTATGGACTGTGGGATGGAACAGCAGCTTTCGAGGTTTGAGCTCTAATCTCGCCCGTGACCATCTAGGGCTTCACAAATTCACGTGTTCATACGTAACAAGAAAGGTGACGATTTCAATTTCATGCATGATTTGATAAACAAATAAGTGTATAGTGTGCATGGGACCCCGATATTATCTAGCAAAAACTAAAGAAATGCAAGGGAGTTGTATCTTAATTAGAATTCTTGAATTCAAGTTTTAAAAACATAACAGCATTTGGTGATCGATAGAGTTTCCACTCGAAACCATACTATAGTCCAAGCTTTAATTGGGACCCCTAATAATTTACTACCGGAAAAAAAAAAAAGTACAGATGAGCAGGGGGCAGCAAAATCCAAGGCTTGCTCGTGATGTGCATTACATTGGTCCATTATGTGTGCCCCAATCCGTGTGCTCTCCACATACCTAATGGAATATTACTATAAATATAGGACCCAGAGGTTGAGTTTGTATATATAAAGATAGAGGGTTGTCTATAGTATTGTCCCCAGACGTATAATGGAAGCTTACGGGTACAAGAAGGTGGCAGCGACGGTGGGGCTGATGGTGATGGTGATAGGCGCGAGCATGGTGAGAGGTGAGGGGCTGTGCAGGATGACGAAGGAGGGGCTGGAGGCGTGCCGGCCGTCAGTGAGTGGCCAGAACCCTCCTCCGCCCACCAAAGCTTGCTGCTCCGCCCTCTCCTCCGCCGACCTTCCATGTCTCTGCCGTTTCAAGTCCTCTGGCTTCCTCTCTTTCTACGGCATCGACCCTGACGCAGCCATGATCCTCCCTCTTCACTGCAACATCGTCCAGTCCTCGTTCCACTGCCAACTTAATTAAGTTTATCACTCTTGCCTTCATGGCTCGTGCCTGCCTATACTTATTTGTGTGGCTCTCAGCTTTACTACTTATTACTCTTATTGTTTTTGTTTATTGTGATGTTAGTGGTTTTTTATTTGTAGTGTGTTTATTAGTGCTTTGCATGTTTTCACTTTGTCATTTGGTGTTCCCCCGTAACTCTGATTGTCATTGTACCTTGTCATGAGTTTTCCGTTTTTCTTTGGAATCGTTTTGTTAGAAAAGCGTCTTTCAAGTTTCAAGGCAAAGTACTTTGATGTTAATCTCTCTCTTTTTTTTTTTGGGGGAGGGGGGAGGGGAATCTTGAGAAATGTAAAAACCTGTAAATCGTAATATTAATTATGGATATATATTTAATATTAATATACGATAATTTTTAGAAAAACATCTTATTTATAATTTATAAATAGTACAACTCAAATTAAATTTTATATATAATAAGAGGCCTCATATTATGATTGCAACACTAGAAAAGTCTAAATATCTAAATTTTATTAAAAAATTATTTATAAATCTTGAACAATATAATTCACCGTTTCAAAATTTAAAAATATAATTAATAATTTATTTTTTGAAAAAAAATTAAAGCCAATAAATAATGACTAATAATATCACGAGACATGGATCATTATAAATTTCTAGTAAGTAATAACTACAATGACCTCGTTATTGGCTTACAATAACTATTAACATCCCTTTGGATATCACTTATTTGGGGTCAAATGAAATTTGCTAGGAACATTAATTAAGCCAACTTTATTTCAAGGTCAGGGAGGGATCATGTGTTATTGGCTTCAGACTCAAAGAGAAAAGCACAAATGCAGCACAACACAAAAATCTTAAGAATCACTCTAATGGGGGAAAATAAAACCTTCCTTCCCAAGGTTTTTTTTTTAAAAAAAAAAATTGGGGGTTGGTGTGCGTGCGTGCGTTTTTTTTTTTTTTCTGTGGTGGGGGTGGTGGATACAGAATTATAATTACAAGGTCAAAAGCAACACCCCCGCCTCCTCTTCTGGCCAACTCATCTCTCAACAAACCCTAAAAACACAACGTATGCAATTTTTATTTATACACAACGTATACGCTAGTAATATTGCAATTAAACAAATATCACGTGAAAAAAAATAGAGATCATTACTTGCTGGGAATTACTTCCTTTTAAAAAAAAAAATTCTTAAATACGTGTTCATTTAAATAATTGACCAGATACATACATTTTTTTAGAGACTTCTCGTGTTTTCCAACATATAATACACGAACAACTTACTTCTACTTAGTTTAATAGCAGGCAGAAGGAGGTATAGAACAACGTTTGGAGAAGATTGTTGGTCAAAAAGGAGGGGGGAAAAAAACGTTGAAGAAGATTAGCCCCTTATAATATGCATAACTTCGGAGATGCATGGACTCAGACTTCAGTGTTTGTTCCGTCTCGCTGTGTCCAATCTTCTTCTTTTTTTTTGGGACCGAAGCTTTTGTGTTCAAATTGAGGTTGTGGTGGCGACTGACTGGTTATGGGTTAAGCTTAAGAATTTTATAATAAAAAGATCTTTAAAAAAAAAAATCAAATAGAGATTGACTTGGTTGAAGCCTACGCATGGCAGAGGTAAAAGCTAATCGTGTTTTTCAGATGTATCGAGACAAGTTAAAGGGTGACGCTTGGAGTACACAGCTAAATGTAAAAGACCAAACTAAAGTAAGGAAAAAGTAATGTACCTACAATAAATATAAAGCATCCGCTCATACCATAGCCTAGTCAAAATTTTTCAATCTCGCAAGTTAGGTTTGACATAAATATGGGTGCAGAAACTAGATGGAAAAAGATTTACGTTGGCTTGTTGTAGAGATGGACAACAGTGAAGACGAAGAAACCTGTCATCTGCATTACAATATCCAAAATTATATCTCACATAAAAACCAATGAGAAAAATCAACAAGATTCAAAAGAAAATCGGTCACCTATTGATATAGTCACAAAACTTTAACCTGCAATAGCAACCTCTGAATGAAACATAGCCTAACTAGGAACCTTCTTTTTTTTTCTTTCTTTTTTGGCTTCTCGGAAGGGTAAATTACATCAAGAAAAATGGAGATGAGGAAGCGAGAGAAAGAAATGTTTGGTTTAAATTCAAATCAAAGATAAGGTCTAAGGTTGTGATTGGATGAGGTGATTTAAGAGTGAAAAAGTAAGTAATTTTTGGAGGTATTTTAATTTCTTCAGTAAAAAAATTCCTTGTTAGAATTACGAAACAAGCGATTTTCAACTTTCTGAGATAATTCAGCTGCTCAGTCAAAAAACAACAATGGCTCAATGAAATAAATTTGAAAGAATTTGAAATTTCACCTAAATAGGTGAACTTCCATACACGCACACGTGCAACTTCCATAGATACAAACAAGCACATGAGAAGGCCTGGCACACAGCCTATGCACACGTATATACATTTATAAGGACACAAGCAGGCATGCAGTACACACAAGTGCATGTACACAGGAATTTTATAATTGCTGTAGCTACCACACACCAAATGCATCCAAGGGTGGAAACAATGGGTTACCCTGGTGGTTGGGTGCATGATCCAGAAATATTAAATGCAGAACAGCAAACAAGGGAAACAAGCTAAAAAGATAGTGGATGGGAGGCCAAGACACATGTTTTTAGAACAGAAATAAAGTCACCTCTACTTGATAATCAGGTCACTTTTCAAATCAAGCTTCATGTGTGAGTGTGAGGGAGGGAGGGAGATACTTACCATTGAAAATGCTGCTCCATAATAGGGATAAGCTGCTGGTATAAATCTTTCGTATTCATTGTGTCTGAAGGGACGGACAGGAATCTGCACAGAAAATTCAAAGATTGAATCCCATGTTTTATTCAGTAATCTCAACATATAAAGGCAAATATATAAACACTAAAAGAAAAATTTACAATGTCAGAGGTAATTCAGTAATCTCAACGATATAGCAAATACATTAGGGCTCCAAATAGCAGTCATGGTAACATTCAATGATCAGACATTAATCAGAAGACTCAGTTGTCACTTATCCTATTGGATACCAGAAAAATCATGGATAACTTTCATCCCAGTACTCAATTTTCAGTGAAAGGAACTCTGATAAGGATTAATTGGTTAACATATTGTCGTGCTAGGGATGATGGTCCGCCTAATCCTCCCCACAAGCATAGCCTTCACAAATACAGCTAATGTTTTACAACTATAGCTTGGGAAAGACTAGGGTAAATTTGATCTAGTAACAAAGTTCTCTCCAGTTGATGATATGACTAGTTTAGCTAATCCATTCCTTACTGACATCCGCCATCTACTATACATATGGGTAGGTATCCAAGATGTCAAAATACAAAAAGATATAGATGTAGTTGTAGAGAATTGAAATTTAGAGCATCCAACTACCTGCTTCGATAGAGATAAGCTTGTATATCCAAGTCTCTGGTACTCAACTTTGAATTGGAAAACCCCGTAGACATCTGGAACTTTAAATGATGTGAAATAACGACCCTGGAAGAACAAAAAATAGATTATTGTATTCAAGCATTCATTACAGAACATAAGAGTAGTGAAAAAGATCTTCAGATGCGACCTTGCTGTCAGTTGATAAAGTCTTCAATACATAGGGGCTCATCATGTAAAACTGGACTTGAACATCATCAGCGACATAAGGTTCCCAGCTTGTTCCAGACCATTCATAAATCTCAATGGAGTATTCCTTTAAAAAGATTTGAGATGTAAGCCACAACAAACGGTGATGTTTCAACTAAAGCAAAGACTGCGTGTCTCAGCATTTAACTAATAATTAAATTACCAAATCATCATTTATCCTATAAATGGCTGGTTCTTCTACTTCCCCAACTTTGTGGTGTTGTACATTCACCGCCTTCATGTCAATACATGAAGCAGAAAACATGTAAGTTAGCTATCAGTAAGGATGCTGACAAGGTCATCAAAATAAACAACGGTAGCAGAATTAAAGGACTGTTTTTCCTTACTTTGAGATGACCTCTTTCATGGAAAACCCATTTGCTAAGTTCAGTCAAAAACTGCTCATTACCTGCCTTCTCATGTCTGATAAAAAAAAAAAAAAAATCACTTGGTTGTGACAATGTGTAAAGAGAGTAGACTGCTTTATTGGCTAGCAAGAAGTCATTCCAGACGTAGGAAGGGGGGCAAAGTTTGAATCTTTACTCACTTGGCTGGACTCCCAGCCTTTTGCACACCAGATCTGAAAAATCTGCAGAACAGAACAGAGTTGATGTCATTAAAATCTAGCTTACACTTTAGAAAACCAAGATCAGCAAGTTAATCTATTCATACCGGTTGCTGAACATGCTTAATGAGCCAGAGATCAATATCCGAGCATTATTTCTCGCCTGCAAAAGGACAATAACAAGAAGGGATAGTTAATGCATATATTTAAAATTTATCTTTTGAACACCATATGTTAAGAGAAAGCAATGAATTATTAAGATATTAATAAAAGAACAAACAGGGAAAGATAGTTATATTTTATCATTTCCTCCAGAGTCCAGATGTTTTGGGCATATCCTGCAGGAATTTATATTACTCCAAAAGAAAAATGGAAGAAAGATCATATACGATCAAAACACAAACATAACACATCCAGACAGTAATAGACAAGGAGGATCATGATCAAGGACAACCACAAGAGAGGACAGTAAAAAGAAAATAAACTGTTGATTCACCTGGACAACAGAAACTAATGAGATAGAAGATCCAGTGAGTGATGGAGGACTTGCCAACTTTGATTTTGGATTAGCAGAATAGGCTGAAGGAGATGCTGATAGAACTTTCAACACCTTAAGTAAGAAACAAAATGGTTATATCAATGAGGAACCAGAATTCAAGCAACTTCAATATAAATGCATTAATAATGCTCCCACAATTAAAGCCAATACAGCAACACAGATAAAGGCAAGTTACCAGACTATTGGAAGGATTCAATGAGTGGCCAATCCCCCGAAACAGAACAGGAGCCTGTTACATATTTATCCAAAAATAATCAGAACAGAAGGATGTAATGTACAGAGAGCATATTCCAGTAACCCACAGTTTCATTTTGTGCTAATGAGCAGAAAAATAACTCCCAAACAAAACACGCATCAATCCTGCTTGCAAAATTCTAACGTTAACCCACTAAGGAGAAAAGAATGAAAAACAGAGAAAGCGTCATAGGCTCAGACGTTGGTGCTAACAAATGATCACATTTATAAACAGCAAATTCATTACTCATATATGTTGATTGCTTAACCCTAGAGCATCATTGTGCATAACGCAAGTAAGGAGTTAATTAAAGTGGCACTTGCCTCAATTCTTTTGCTTCCTAGAATAACGTCGGACTTAATGAAACCATCAGCAGCAATCAGAGTATGGTCTCCTTCAGTAGCTGCGACAGCATAACCAGTATGATCTACAACCAAGGCTGCAGGATCCTGGGTACATATAGATATAGAGAAGCAGAAAGTAAGGTTTCACTGTCTATGAAGCAATGTTACAAACATCGAAGCAAATATACATGACATCAAATGATAGGTGCAGAACAGATAATTGTGAGCTTCAATAGAAGAATTATTAAATATAGGCCAAACAAATTCAAACCATTTACAACTACTGTATGTACCTCATCAAAGTCCACTCCACACTCAGTGGCAATTTCTCGGATTAAATCAGACGCATTACTATCAGCTGCAACTATTAAATCGTGGCCAGAATCAACAAAATCCAAAATAGCAGCTGCATCAATGGATCCTCCAAAACCTGCATATTTGTTAAAAGGTTGCATATATCAGTAAAGTCAGTGCAAGTTTCCCAAAATAAGTATAACTATATTTTCTCATGAAATCGTACGTAAAATTATGTTGTCACATAATATAAGTCTCTCAAAATGAGTCAAGCTTACACTTTACCTCAATTCATTACGTTTAAAGTCCATACCTAGTTAATTGCTTAGGAAATGTCGACACAATATAGTCGAACAGAAAAATACACGCTTGAATGAAAATATACAAGAAACATAAACTTCATTCATATGGGAGCAATTAAAATTTACTAGTAAGCTAAAAAAAAAAAAAAATCACTACTTCGAGTCGCGTTTTCCAAATTAGCAACATAAATTTATATCTTAGAAACTCCAAAAATTACAGCTTCCAGGAAAAAAGCGACAAAACATTACGTTCGATCGTGGGGCAGAACAGAATTAAGCCATCGTACAAATACTGGCCGTATCTCTGAAGTGAAATCTTTGGGTCGTCAGCGAGCTTGAAATCGAGATCGAATCCCCGGGATTGGAGAGACTTGAAGAACAATGAGTGCGACGATTTGATGGCGAAGTCATCGAGCAACACAAGGATGTGGCGATCTGAGGGCTTATCGGCCGAGAAAGAGTTGCAGAGAAGAGGAAGGAGTGAAATGAGGGAAAGGACAACGACCAGCTTGGCCATTCCGAGCAGTCTTGGGTTTCCGCAGCTCAGAGTCTTGAATCAAGACTGGGAAGTTTCAGCCAGGGGTCTTTCAACCACCAGAGATCGGGTTTATTTCGTTAATCAGTAATTGAATTATGGATCCCAAGATAAAAACAATTTTACGTCATCTTAGATGCAGAATTAACATTGGGCCTCCATGGGCCAGCCCAGGCACTATGTTGAGCCCGCCTACGTTGAAGCTTAAGCAGGCCCAACACTTGGACGCTGAGGCTTCATCTTTCGAGATACCCTCTCAAGTTTCAACTTGATTTTAGATTTTAATGGCCGAAGGGCCACATGAATGAAATGTCTACATTTACTGAGCACTAATATCTTGAACAGAATTGTTTTTAATAAAATAAATAAATACCAAATCCTTGTGGATAATTAAAAAACAATTGATTTTAGAGTTTGGAGTCTTGTTTCAATTTTTGAAAAACTAATTTTTATAAATTATTCTGAGTCAATTTTTTTCCATTTAAAGAATTAATTTGCTTCCGCGAACCCAAAAAAAAACCAATATAAAATTTAATATTGCAGCAAATAATCAAATATTATCTTAGAGAAGGGGGGGAAGCCTTTATCACTTGGAGACCGAGATTATCTTTAATCAACAGATTCCAGTAAAATTGTCTGAGCTTGTATTATAAATATAATTATCTTTCCATGCACAAACTTCTTGCTCCACTTGCTTGGCCATGCCTTCATCGATTTGATCCACTTCTCATTTGTGAATCACACAGCATGAGAAGATCCAGATCCTGACTTTCTAAATGAGCTAGATGATCTGTATGCTTATGTTTTCTCCAGCCATGAAATTGAGTTTGCAGACCAATATATATCAGAATATTACTTTACAACCAAAGATTACAAGCAATAACCAGACAACAGGTGGACACAAGGAAAGAAAAGTAAAACAGCGAAGCCATATGATGATAAATATTCGATTACAAATAAGGAAAGAAAATTTTGCATTCCTGGAGATCAAGGATCAGTGAAAGCCAGTGACTTCTTCTCCAGTGACTCTCATGAATCAAAATTACCAGCAAGACAGAGTTACAGATAAACAAGACAAAGTCTCCTCATCTCTCCTTCAATGAACCCTTTCTAGACCTCTTCAACTCCCATGGAGGCAGGCAACCTTTGTAGTGAGAGTGTAAAAATAAGGAAGACATTGATACCTCCCTTTGAGGCACCGAGATTGACGCCAAGCAACTGAAGGCAGTTCGCAGTCTCTTCTTTTCACTATCACCTCCTTGAAAATTTGAATCATGCTGAACGGTGGATGTTTTAAGAGCATCAGGGAGTATGCAATTACACAAGGCACCTACAAGGAATGCGTGAAAAGATGAGAAGTCAGAGGTAATGTAGTTGAAGGAAACAAGTCAGAGCATTTGACTACAAAAAAGAATGTTATTCGCAGTTCTTTACATGTCAGCTGTTATAAGTTTAGCCAAAGAAGCTGATAGTAGACTATAGTATTTCAATGACATGAAGATATGAGCCTGTAAGTACTTTGAAATATTTCAATAGTAGCAAGTGCCAGCCAAAAAAGTGTTATCTGTAACATTGGCCAAGAAGGGCTATGCACATGGAAGCACCATCAGAATAGAGATAATAACATTGGGAAATTCTAAGTTCCGATTGATCATTACTTGCCAATTGGTTCGAGAAAAACTGAGTTCTATTACATGTTAAGCATGAAAAATATTCATATACCTATTCTTGCAAGACGATTGACCCATTTTGGTATTGTATTTCCCGTCAACTTGAGGCACATATCCTCACAAAAATGGTTGCAGTTCTTCACAATCAAGTGATAAGTATCGCCATTGTAGTTTGCTGCCTGACGCTCCATGAACTCTCGAACCTGGAGAGGATCCAAGCTCGTTGTTCCCATGAATATTGACTTCCTAAACTTAAAACCAGGACATTGCCGAGGTTCAACCTCAAAGACGCCACTTGTCGGATGATCATGGGCTCCAAAAGCATATTCTACTCCATGAACTGTATGTATAGTTGTAAAATATCAAGAATATCCATAGGATTCAGATCAATCCAAAGCAGAAGAGAAAATATTGTAAATTATTCAGTTATCTCAATATGTGCAGACATGCATGATTATCTTGTGTTTGGCTTTGGGGGTCAAATTTATCAAATGATCTTTCAGAAGTAGGCAGTGTTCAAGCTATCATAATTTGAGTTGTGAACTACAAAAGTAAGGAGTTAGACATGGTACTTAAAAGTCCCATTAGAACTACTTCTCTTTAAGATGTAAATATAAGGTGCTGGGCAAGGGAGTAATTCCTCGGAATTTGACTAGAAAACCTAAATAAACTATTTCAACAAACAAATAAGGTTAAAAAAGTGAAAACAGGTATTATGTTCCAACTGACCTTCAATCCCAGTGTGAAAAATACCAAGACCAGCCCAATACATGTAGCCATTTACTGCCGTCAAATCATACACATTAAGATAGACAGGTGAATTCCCAGGATTGTTGCCAGCCGGTTTCACTTTTGGAAATAAGCAAAAACGAGTGGCTGATTTGTCTTTGAGACGAAGACGCACAACCGAAGGCCAGCTACTGTTGAATCTTGATTTCATGTTAAGAGTGAGTCCAAGAAGCACTCAATACCTATCTATAACCTGCATATATCAAGGCAACATTAAAATTGAAAGACACTAGAAGAAATGTTCTTTCAATACATGTAATGATGCATTGTGACACAACATAAATAATATTCAACGCCTGCCTGTTGTGGAATACATTAACTTTAGTTAAAAAGAAATATTCTTCTGCTGTGTAGTTTCTCTTGATAATAATTACATACCAATTCCTTATGTATAAATTTGAAACCACATGACATGCATGCAATGTCTCATAATTGTTATGGACTTGTGAAAATACTTCCATAATTGGAAAATATATGCCCGCCAGCCATTCGTGACATGGATTAGCGTTACATTTCATAAATCTTTTCTCATCATAAGCAATTCACAATTAACATGGAATGTCCTTGAATGGTTATTTTTTATTTACTTATATATTTATTTTGCATATGGCTTTTTCAATTTTGAAAGGCAAGAAATGTAACATTCCCTTTGAAGCCGATAATAAACCAGATTCATAATTCTTCTATGACCAAATTAATCTTTGCAGGAAAGTAGAAGCAGAATGGCCCCAGTTCCAATGTTCGATAAGATCAAGAAATTAGTTTCGCAGATCATCTAGTTTCATGAATGCTCTACATATAACTTCAGACTTCAGAGCTATGTTCTGGTGGCCAAAGGTGTGACTTCGAAACAATGATCATGCACTACAACAGATGAAGATTATTTATACCAGGATTAACTTATTGCATGTTCTGGGATCATGAAGCTAAGAAGTCCGTTTAGATTCCTTTTAAGAAATAGCATAGCGCTAGTTAGATACAATAAATGGCACAAGAAAGAGGGAGTCCGTTTAGATTCCTGGTTTGTCAATTGTCAACCTAGTTGTGACATGCTAAGGAAAGCATAATCAACAGGACCATAAAAAAGTGGATGTGGATTCAATGACTATACTTAGTATAGGCACTGAGAGTGCATGTAGTATCTAAACTATTGAAATCGAGATCAATGATTCTGAATTCATACTTCACTTGAGATTAATGAATTAATGGGTTTATCTAAATAATTGATTCAGATTTCAACGGTTCAAATTACAAGCACTTAGTGCCTATACTAAATATAGTCACTAAATTCAAATCCTAAAAAAGTGCAACCAAGCATGCCAAGCCTCTAACATCTTCAGCGTTTGTTCTCATGAAAACAGAACATGTTTTTCAGACATCTGCCATACATTGCTATATGTGCTTAAGACAAAACATTAGCATGCTACACCTAAATCGGTTAAGACAAGCAGACAATCCTTGTGAAAAAGCAGAGCATAGTCATCAACGTTTACGCAGAACAGTAATCAACTTCAGCGACTCTACCAAGTGCTGCTTATTTTTTCTTCCCTCTTCAGAGCGGAGTACGTGATGCTCGCAATAGCTTGCAAATTTGGCAATGTTCAGTCCACATCACTAGCACATTAGTTCTAACACAAACCTCGTAAAATCTGCCTCTTCGGTCTTCACGCTCTTCCCTGTGTCCTAAAGAAATTGACTAGCTATTGGTCATTCATGTGAATACACATTACTCCTTGTCCATTGTGCAGTGAATATTCCGACAAGCCAGGGTCTTTCCTGTGAATGAAAGCAGCGCTACCTTCAGAGAGATCATTTGGCCAAGATGGGATCTGAGCTATGAAGCCGCGTGCTGGTTCTGAATTCCCCACCTATACTATAACAACAGTAGGAACTTCGCAACCCAGGTTCCGAACTCGTTTAACGTCATATCAGGTTCCCTCTTTTCAATTTTAAGTTTCCATTTTTAGACAGAAAAAGAAGAAGAATGGATTCCTAACATATTAAGTTCCTAGCAGAAAAGAGCACTAAAATTGTGAGTTTTAAATGAAGATCCTACTCATGTAGGGAAAAACTAGCGAAGCAAGTACAAAAAGGAAAGCACTTTCTACGCCCAGATCAGATTAATAATTAAGAAAACCAAGAGAAGGGTAACCAACTAGCAATGGAGTAGCCGATCTTTCACAAGCAACAATAAGAAAAACAAAATAAACAGAAACAGTGAGAGAAAGAACTAAGAATTTAAAAAACAAAGTAGATTCAAGCAAGATAAGCGAAAAGTTCAGGAAGACCCACTGACCTTTGCAACTAGCGAAGACCACCCCAGAAGAGAGCGAGTGAGGATAAAGCTTCCTTCAGAAGATGATAATGATGGGACAACGCCATTGTTATGGGAAGGAGGAGGAGAGAAATCGAGAACGGAACAATGTGCGTGCCTGAAACTCACACATTGTCGTGGTTTGTTTCTGACAGTGATGAAGAGAGTGGGGAATACAGAGAGAAACTGCGGTGTCCTTTTGTTCTGGTCCGATGGGGAAAGATGGACCCGTTGGCTTATTGGAAATGAAAATTTAGGTGAAAAAGAAAAAGAAAAAGAAATCTGAAAATTATAATTTTTTC